TTTGTCGTGTTCGCTGCTAGAAATATTGATCTAAATTACTCGATTAAAGGAAAACACTTAAAAACTGCAGGCCTAGGAATGCCTTTGTGGAGGATTTCTTAAGAGTAACTCGTCCTTTGCTTACATTACATAGGAAGTAAATCACAAAAACATAATTTAGCCTTCCTATGAGAACAAAGGGTTCGGAAACTGACTTTAAATATCTTTTCCAAACCCTGGCCGGCCTACACTAGACAAAACTGATTTTCCATCCATAATCATCCTGCTTATTTGCCATGAGATGCATCCGTAAGAATTACGTATTTTCCAGCTTCAAGTAGAAAAAGGCAAGCATTCATATTGTTAAAACTCCTGCAGATGACTGTTTTGTTATATGCAGCACGCATATGTAGGAAATATTTCGGATAAAATTAAATACGTTTAAATTTATTATGCAAAAATGGGAATTGACTGTTCGTTTAATTGAATGTGACAAAGAATCTAGAGCGAGGACTTTTCTAAGGGAAACTATGGTACGCATAAGGAAAACACAAAAATAACCAACTATCCAGATTTTTCATTGCCATTAGAATCCGAATCGAAACATCGCTTCTCAACAAAAGTCCTATCTATTCGGCTGCTGCTGAACTAAAATTTAATTACTATTGCAGTCATATTATAACAACTGCAATTGCCATTTATAACAGTAATTATAACCGCCTTACTGTAGTATTATCTCCAAAGTAATTATAGTATAATTAACAACTCTGTTCAATCAATAATCGATTGCTAAAGTTCCAAACATAAATTAAAGATTTTGTACGTTGTCGAATGGCAATATTCAGAAAATTCGCTATGGGAAATATTAATGAAGATCTTACGTCTCGCGCAGTAGTAACGCTTGCCGAAGGCTGCTTCTAGGTTATTTCCGTCCTTATCGTTCGACATTTTTCGAAGTATGATCGCGTTCCCAAGTTTTGTTTCCCAAGAGCAATATTTTATATGATATGCAATGTATAATATTATACGTTTATATATACTTTTATATGATAAGCAAAAATAAAACGCCTCTCTCGAGGTGTAATAAGCCAAGAGCATTAATAAATAATTGCACTGTAACTATAGTTAATACACATACAATATAACTGTAAACTTAGTTACAGTATAATTCTAGCTTTAATTATAATGCAATTGTAATAATAATAATTATAAAATGGCAATTATATTATTACTGTATGATTCATAATTTATTAATTGAAATTACGATTAAACTGTATTCGTACGACTTATAATTATAATTACACTGTATATTATTCGATTTATAATTACTTACATTTAACTCTTATGTGTACTTGCCATTACATTGCATGCAATTATTCATCAATTACATTGTAATTGATCGATGTCTACTGCTGATATTACCAACGTATTTAACGCCATAAAAATATAGATATCTTAACAATTTTCCATCTTTTTTTTTTTTTTTTTTCTTTTTTTTTTTTTTTCTATTTTGAGGCTGTTTTACCTGTGAGAAATGAAAATATCTGTGCAACGTAAAAATTCCTGTACAAAATTGTCCGTCAGGAGCGAAGATTAGAGACAATTATATTAATTTTTTTAATAATTTAGTATTCAATTTCGACGGGTTTACTAGTAGATTGTTGAATACAGTATTGTATAAATACAAAAAACCCTATATGATACATGCATTAATAAACGAATTAATTTTTTAATCGATTCGGAAGAGGAACAAGTATCCCGACTGACCCCTTTGCAGATGTCCGTGGGCATCTGCAACCCCAATAATCTGCTCATAGTGAGATTTATTTGCGTACATATCATCACCAGTTCAATCTAATTTTCCTTTACTTAACAATAACTTAGTTAGATCTTATAACCACTAATATTTATTTCATGTTTCTTCGGCTTTCATAGCCTGAACATCATTCGGAGCGTTTTACATAAAATGCACGTGAATAGCTACAGCAACCATCTAAAAATATAAAAATGTTATTTTCACCAAAAGAATAGATAGAGAATCCTTACGAGTGTTTATTTTGTATGAGCACTTTTGTGAAGCTAGAACATATTTTTTCTTAAAACTTTGATTTTACAAACTGAAGAGGTTTCCTTTTCAAATGTTCCTCAGGTATGAAATTTCAACAGAACTCAGCGTCGTAAAATAAATTTCAGTCGAGGTCCATATCTGTAAGGTTTCGTCGACTTTTTTGTCATAAATAGGAAAGTGATGAAGAAATAAGGACGAAATTTCAGTTACGATTTTGCTGCTTTTTCCAAGTTGCGAAATAATAGAGCTACGGCAGTTAAAGCGGGGAAAAAAAAATTGTTTTTCTATTCGCATGAGTTTCATTTGATTGGCTTCCAAAAACTGTATGAAGTAGCATTGTATTATCATGTAATATTATGGTTATTGTAAGTAAATCAATATACTATTTGTTTTCTGAAAATATAATGTCTTAAAAAATTGCCAATTTAAAATGAAAGAGTGTTATTTATTCCAGGAAGTTTCTAAGCAGCTAATAAGCTCCCCCTTTTCATGTCGGTTCTTTTTAATAACTTGAAATAATTTACCAGGGTTCACTGAATACTAAACGAAATTCAGTAGTGAGATATATCAGCAAATTTAATACTCGAAGTGGTTTCAGTGATTTTTGTTGCCATACTATGTTTAAGACTGGTTTATTAAGTTTGTTTTGTCTTTGGATTTCCTTGCAATAATGGAACTTTTATTCCTTACTTTTCACTATGTTGAAGTTTGAATATTTCTGATTGGGAGGTTGACCGGAGGTTTCAGAACGCCATTCTTTTCTTGCTTCTCTGTTTATATGTTGATGGCTTTAGGTATATATTCGTGGTTGTGGATTCATTTCTCTGCTCAGTGTACTGACACACGCGTTTTCCCTCCTGAATCAGCTGCGCATCGAGGTATCTTATTTTCTCGAATATAAGAACTTCCTTGCACTTTGGGATAAATTTTAAGGAATAAAAAATGTAGATGAGTATTCGATGCGGGTATGAGTCGGACTAAAATTCAGTTGCTTCTCCTTAAAAGGAAAACCAAGCTACCTAATTATACGCAACATTTTATTATGATATAGAAAGAAAAATTAGGAAAAACTCCTGATTCATTACTACGTATTTGTTTTCAGGCATAGATTTCAGACCAGTGTAGTGGATGCAGGCCTAAACTGAAATCGTTCAGATAGAGTAACTGTTATAATTAGGGGTAGTTACGTAGTTTATACCACATGCGGTAATTACCTGTGTAGTTTGTTTAGTATTTAAACAGTGTAATCACTGTATATAGTATGAAAATTACACTCCTTCTTCTCATTTTGTAATTTTATTTATTAAAAAATTCGATTATAAAACCCTATTAAATTTAGGGGTGGAAAATAGAATAAGAATAAAGCGGGTCTTATGTTTGAATAAATGTGGTATGTTCATTCGTCCGTCAGTCTATGTATCTTTACGTTGGATAGCTTTTCGAACCTGTTAACTAATCTGAATATGTTCCTAATTGCACAAATTTAGCTCTTCCGTGCAGAATGCAGCAGAAATTTAGGGTTTCACGCGGAAGTTCAAGTGCTTGTCCCCAAGAAGATAGATGAGTCTTGGAGCAGTTTTCTTGCGCATCCGATTATTCCAGGAATGGACTCGAATCTAAACTCGGAGCAAGTTTTCTCAGTATGTAAGCTTTCAGTGCAATCTTGTTGGAGGGGTGGAAAATCTTATTTTGGTCCGAATGTCTGTTTTGTCGATCACACTACAATTTCTGTAGGAAGCACTAAACCTTCTGCTGATCACCATGACAGCAACGCTTTAATAAAGTTTAGCTGAGGTGCAGCGGAACTGCAGTCAGTGATTATTTGTTTATTTGTACTAACTTTTTGCGTCTAATTTCTTAATTTTTTTAATCATCCCCAAAGTTATTTTCCTTAAAAAGATTGTTGCAATCTCTTACCATAATTTACATCACAATAAGATCAGTATTAAATCAGATTTTCATTATCTGTATTTTTATTACGTGCAAGAGGATATAAGGTATTTCTCCCGCCTTCTTAGCGAGCCTTCGTGGTGTAGTGGTCTGCACGCTCAGCGCGTAATTGAGAGGTCCGCGGTGAGATTCCTGGTGAAGGCGTTGCATAGTTTTCATCTTGCCTGCTTTAAAAAAATATACCGAGTGTTTCTAAAAGGAGATAAACATTTTCAACTGCTTAATTGCCAGTAAGTTGTATGTGCATAATAATACTTTGCTTGAATACAAATAATTGATAAAATAAACTCCTAAAACAAGGAAGTGAGGAATAAGTGTGAGAAACAAAAGTTATCAAAACTACTCTTATTAAAAGTACTTGAAGTGGAATTTTACGCTCATCGTTTTGCTTGAAATATTGAAATATAAAGACTTTACATTGTGAGGGAACTTTACTTTGTTATGTTATTAGCGTTGTATTACTAGATTTGAATTCATGCAAAACCGTTTTAACAACATATTTGAATCATATTAGTGTAAATATTTTTTTTCGTTCTTTAGGAGAGAAGGGGGTGGAGAAGGGGCAAGATCAGATTATTTTGAATAATAAACCACTGTAATCATCATGAAGCAATATTAGAAACTTATTCTAATTTTGAAACAATGTTTTTTCAGTTTTGTAATAGACATTTATCATTATTTTAATTTATAGCAATTAATTATCACTAATATGCTGTAGGGCAGTATTTCTCTTATTTGTTTACTTAAGACCTTTTTACACATTTTGAAATAAGGTTTTAGTTTTACTGCCTTTTTAAGGGATCTATGAATATGTATTTATATTAAACGATATTTAAATGCAGCTTTTCTGCGAAAGTGGAATTTGCATTATTTCCGCATAAAATTCTGGATGATATAAATATAGAATAGAGTAAAATTAACAGAGTAGCGCCAGATGGCGCTTTGGTAAGCGTGAAGAAACTTTCAACCTGTCCCGTTTCTCTCAAGAGACGTAACTTAAAAACAGAACTTGGATGAAACGCAGCGCAGACTGAAAGATTCATTTGTTGCTTCGGTTTGTTTCTTCTTGAAAGCAGACGATATGTGGAACAATGCTGTCTCTATCGTAATTATCATCGTTCCGAGTTATTACTGGGGAAGAAGTTTACTTTTTCTTCGAAAAGTTTGAAGTGTTTCTTGAAAGAATATTCGTTTACATGCATGGATTTAAAAAACATTTTCGTCTGCAGATAGTTTACAGGCAAGTGAAAGCAACGGCGTTTCATTATGTGAACGGAACGTAAAAAATTTTCGCAGCAAGTTAATAATTTTGTAGGTGACATTAGAGCTATATGTTTTTGTTATTGCCATTTTAGGCCTTCTAGTTTAAAACATAAGGGAAAAAAAAGGAATTTAAAACTTTTCTTCTCGGATTTTTAAAATTTATATTCCTACGAAACTAATTAACGAACAGTAAGAAGCTAGATGAATCTAATTGTAAAAAATGCTGACTTTAATATTTGAACCTCTTTTAAAGAAAAAACATTAAAAAAAATGAATAATTAAAGTTAATGAAACAAATATTAAGGAATTTATTAAAGATTACAAATATTGCTACTTGCTGTAAATTATGCACAGAAGCTCAGTGTTATTAAGTACATTAAAAAACAAAATAAAAGTTCCAAAGTTTAACATTTATTTCGATCTTTTGATTTATGATTAGTAAAAAATTGTTAATTTTTATGAAATTCGAATTTTTATTGCTATACTTTTAACATATGAAAGAGAATTCATTAGCTAATAATAGCCGAAATATAACATATTAACTACACTGGCGAAGAAATTTAGTTTGGCATTTTAAAAATCTGTAAATTAAAAATGCAAAATATCCGCAATCACTTCTAAATTTCTGATTAAAAACCTGACGAATTTTTTTAAAATTAAGCATAAAAGAATATTCGTTTCTGAAAAACTAAAAATTTCCTTTGTGTAAATAATACTTTATCAGAAATAAAAACTATTTTCAGTTAAACATACATTATTCTTCACTTCTAATGGAGTTTGTTACATTAGATTTGACTCTAGAGTAATTGTAAAATTTTCTTTTATTTCGTTTAAATATTAAATTTGCTATGAGATAAAATGCATTTTAAATGGTCAAAATAATAAAAAGTTTCTTTTACTTTTCTCGTGGTTGAGTTTTTACTGCAATTTTATATGAAATGAACAATTTTAAAACTTTGCCCTTTTTAGAAGTTATTTTTAAGTAATAGCTTAAAAAAACTTTGATTTCGCATTTTACTGAATTAAATATTTGTTGTTACAAATATAAAAAAAGGATAAAATACAAAAATAATGCACAATTAAAGAATTTAGAATTAGATTTATAACCCATTTAACTGAACGTTTTCTAAAGTACGCTGAACTGCATCTGTAAATATAGTAACTGAAGAGACTGTTTCTTTTATCAGAAATTCGAATGAAATGCTGTATCGCCTTAGACAAGATTTTGATTCAAGGAAACTTCCACTGCACTATCGCCTGCTTTTTCAATCCGGAAGAGATATGTTTATTCTACAATGCTGATGTTTTGGTTTATTACGATATTTTTACAAAGCACAATGGCAAAATGAAATAAATTCCGGAGGCATTATAACATCTAGGAAGGAAAAACTAAAAAGAGACGAAAAAAGAAACTAAAATTAGCGCACTCCTCTGAACAACTGAACCAAAGCATGGGTAACGGAGCGAGCTTTATCTTATGCCGTTCGGAGACGAAAAAGGACTCGGAGACTGATTCTTTTGAGATGGACCTGCGGGTCAGGGAATTAGAAGAACGAGCCAGTAATTTAGAAGCGCTTCTTAGAGAAGCTGAAGCTCAAGTGTCTGATCTAAAAAAAGAGTTACTGTCAAGGGACAAGAGGATAGATTCTCTCCTCAGAGAAGTTCACAAATTGAAGGTAAGAAATTTATTCTGTTTTAATCAAGACTGCCTATGATTTTGAAGAGAATCATTTAATGCAATTATATTTATGTAAGCATAATTTATATTAATAATTTTCTCTCTTTTAGCAAAACATAAGCGTTCATGTTTTATTCAAAAACGTTTAAAATTACATTTTTCCTTGTTTAGCGTATATTATGTTACATTATACTCCCACAGCAATAATTCTTGAAGTCATCTGATAATTTGCCTTTGTTTGTGAGAGCTGTTTCTGTCTGTTTCTTTGAAAATTTGCACCGTTAGTGCAATTAATAAACGATGTTTCTGAAGTCAGATATAACTAACTTTGATTAGCCAAAACTGAAGGGAGCATACACAATTTCGAGTAATCTACATTTGAGTTAATGAGATTTTCGGCTTATTGGGAATGATTTTGTGTAAGCATAGGTAAGAACCCAGGCACCCAGGATTTTGTGTAGCATAGGTAAGAATATATTTAACACAGCAAGGCAAGAATTGTGAAGTGTATCAATGATGAAAAGTGTTTTGATATATAAAAAATGCTAAAAGCAATTAAAGTAAAAATATTTTTGAGTCGTTTATTTTTATTACAGTTGACTATGTTTATGCAGAAATGACTTTGATGAAATGATTTTGTTCCAGGAATAAAACTGAAGTTAATTCGTAACCACTACAAATATTATAATTTCTAATTAATAAATTATATTATTAATTTCACTATAATTAATATAATAATAATAATAATCTTTATAATTAATATAATAATAATAATCCTTATAATTAATATAATTTCCAACTCTCACTGCGAATAATTTCTAATTAATCATAATACTCATGTAATTTTGACTTGATAACATTTAATGATCGGATTTTTATTAAATCGCGATAGGTGGTATTAAAAATATATGTGCTGTAATATCAGTCAATGACATAAAATTGAAAATCAGCAACCATTAGTTTGTATGAGAAAAATTAAAGAATATATCCAGCCCTTATGTAAAAAAATAACGCATGCTCAGTGTAGTTATACTTTCCAGAGGCAAGAAAGAGAGAAGTCAGTGAAAGGCTCAAATTTGTGGTCGCAGTGATGTTAGGCGGCCAGAGAAGTTGCGAAAGCCGACGGAGACTGGGCCGAGCGGAGGAGTTATCTTTAAAGATTTTATCTTTATTTAAATCTGTCATATCTCTCTATTTTTATGTCAATCTACTTAAATGTCCGGATCGAAGTTTGTCAACTGCAGTTGCTAATGAGGAAGATCTGAAATACTACAGCATGCCTGACTGCTTAGATTCACTTTTTTTTTTCAGTCATTTTTGAGTCCCCACAGGTATTCAAAATATCCTTCAGAATTTTCTTAAATATATACTATAATCTTTCACAATTAAAGTCATATTTTTAGAAATCTTTGCACAAACGTTAAATGTTGTTTTCATTTTTTTTACTCCCTTGCAGAGGCGAAATTCCTTTTCAGACATTTCTCCATTAGCATAAACGTATATCGTCATCGATGTATATGTGAGAGAAAATAATAACTCAACTCAGTACTAAATAAAAAGAAATAAAATATAATCTTCATAAATAAAAACTTTTACTACACATCTGTTTCAAAATTGTCCTCAAATAATTCTTTTTCAAAGTACGCGTACAGGTACGTATTTACAAAAAACTCTTTCGCGTACAAACTCACAAAAAATACATCAAAAGTTAATACCAGTATGGAAAATAATGGATACTTTTTATACTTGAATTTTTGATCGAATTTTCATAATACGGAAGGAGCTTATATTTTTATTTAAAAAAGGAGAAGCGAAGTTATTTTTATGATGTCTCATTAGTTTGTATTTCGGCAAAGCTAAGCAAATAAAATTCATTATCTATAATAATACATACCTATTTAGTACCTGGTCAAAACGAAAACACGGATAATCCATGGTCCTTTATCCGGAAAACATGACCTTTTTGGATATTCTAAAATACAAAATATGCTGTAACTTAGAATAGGCTTTAATTAAAATAATAATTAAATAAATTTCGTTTGGAAGACTTGTTTCTTCATAATAACAGATTATATTGTTCTGTGTCTTCACATTAACAAAAATCAGTTTTCCCCAATCCATAAATTAAAACTTTATTTCAAGCCTTAGCGAGATTCACTGTAAGACAAAATACAATGCACTATGAGTTCCCGTCAAAAACTTACTTTTTCTATGGAGGACTGATCTTCGAATTGATTTCTTCATTAGTCTCATGTGTATTAAACGTTTGATTGAGAATTTCTGCCCCTCCCCAACCAAATAGCTTCCAAGTTCTGTAATGTATGATTCTGAAGCTTAATATTGCTTCTATCAAATACCCCTCCTGAAATAGTGACATTTCTTAAAACGTGCTAGTCAGCCTGAAGATGCATTAAGTGAATCCTTAGTGCTTTTTTTCATAAATTCATGGGATTACTTTTTCCAGGCCTAAAAATATCTTCTGATCTGACTTCGCTCAAACAAAAGAAAATAATAATAGAATAAGAGAAGCGAAACTGGCAAGATTGTAGAGACATTAGGTTTTTTTGAAGCAGGAGATGGGAAAAATATGCACTGCTCTCGCCGGGACTCGAACCGTGGACCTCTTGATACGCACCGTATGTGATACCTTTACACCACGAAGACATACTGGAAAGAGGGAGAAAATACCTTATAAGTTAAAAACCGGTTTTCTTTTGCCTCTAATTCCCTCTAAGTAATATTCTGATCAGAACATCATTGGCGAGCTGTAAATTGGTGTAAACATGAAACTTTGAGCAATACCACAAATAATAATTGCACATATAGTAATTATTTACAAATATGCTGTAGGAATTAAGACTGTAGTTACTTGCAATATACCCAATTTTGTTTCATCCAAAATCTTTTTACACGATTTTGTATTTAACATATAGTTTTTTTTTTGGGGGGGGGACGTGTTTTTCCTTTAATACGATTTATTTTGATTTAACAGGGTCGAACAGCGCCTCTTTGAAAATTTATTTCTGAATTTAATTTTTTTAAGCATTTCTACCCGGAAGTGTTTTTTAATTTGCTTTTATAACAAGGATAACAGTTAATGGAAAAATTTTGTGAAGTAGTTTTGACTTTCGAAACACGCCCACTCCCCTACAGTATAAAAACTCGGCTCTTTATTCTGTATCTATATAAGTTTTTCTGTTTTATTCTACAAAATCAACAAAAGCGTTTCTTCTGTTTGTCAAAACCTTGCTTTAATTTAATATGTTACGCGCAAATTGGTGACGAACGGAAATAAATAACATATTATACAATCGTCTCTGTTGGGTCAATCGAAAAATCCATCCCGTTTTTGGAGATTTAAATTACGAGTAGATATGATGTCGTGCAAGACGCTGTGATGACTGTAATTTTCAGCCAGTGAAATTTTCAGACAAGTAACTTATGCTTGTAAAAGCAAATAATCTAAAAAATAAAGAAATGAACTGTTTAAAATGGCAAAAGATGGCATAAAATGGCATATCAGATATTGTTTACTCTCTGAGTTTTTGCAGCTTTGAATGCTAAAACGTTCGTCAAATATACGAGGAGGATGCTGTAACAACTTAGTATTGTTATTAAAATATTGTAATTTAAAATAAATAAACTTTAATGTATATGTAACGGCAATGTTTGTAGCCGAGCAGATGGTATAGTGGTTAGGGTCGCCTGACTGCGATACCAAAGTGCCCGGGTTTGAATCCCGGAGAAGGCATGGATGTAAAATTGTCGTCCCTTTATAGGAGGTAATGGTGGCCGCCTATTAGATGCCTCCACATGAAATTGGCGACCATTTCTGGCCTAGTAGTGGCCAATGCTGTTATAGGAAGTGCCACCATTTGAAAAAAAAAAAAAAAAAAAGCTGTTTGTAACGTAGGCTCGAGAGCCACTTATGTCTCTCGCACGAAGAATGTTTTCTCTTTTTTAAAAATGTTAGATGATCGTTTTCTCTTCTGGTTTGTATGTCGCTATTTTGAGTGTTAAATAAAAATATTTTTTTCTGTGTTCCATTAATGGAGTTTGCTTCATATTGCGAAAGAAGTATCACAGTCTTAATTATTTTGGAGGCACCGCACGAGATCGAATAACTGTGCGTATTCTTATTTTATTAGTTCATCACTGCGCGTAATATTACTGATACTAGTTTAGTATTTTCTGTTAATATTGAATTGTCTTATTTTATTACTGTATAGTAGAACAATTTTTGAGACAGATCGTTAATAATAATAACAATAGAATAAAAATTATTTTGTCTTTCGTTGCTATAGCAGTGTTGAGTTGTAGTAGGCGAGTCGCCACAGTACTAACCCCTCCAGTGCTAACGATACCTTACAAATACTTTGGTTTGATGCGAACTCGACGACCCGAGCGTTTTCTTGTCGTAGCATCTGATAAGTCGGATGTCGTGGTTTCTGTCGAAGGCTTGGAACAGCTTGCATTGAAGTCCGTTGGAGATAGATGGGGATCTTGAGACAGAATTTGCAATGGTGAAGACGCATTCGCTACAGTGGCTTCTGGTGTCCAGATAAATGCCGGCTTAAAGCGGTCGATACTAACGACGACTTTTTCGTTGACCAAAATTTTAAATGTTTTTCGTTTCGAGCTAGCAGTTGATGGGGCCCTGAAAATTGTGGTGCAAGAGAAGGCTTTAAATCATCCCATCTGACCCTCTTTTAACGATGATCGAAGACCTAGAAGTACAGTAGGTAACACATCAGTCCACTGTAACCCAGTGTGGCATCGAATTGATTGTTTTAAGGAGCGATGAAATCTCTCACAATTCCACCCGAACTTGGATGGTAGGGGGCTGGTTCACACTTTGTAAGTGCCCAAATACTTAGTTAGTGACGTGAAGAGTTGGGACTCGAACTGACGCCCCTGGTCAGTAGAAATCTGCTCCGGAATTCCGAATCGAGAAATCCGAACGGTGTAAAATGCCTTTGCCACCGTACCAGCTGAAAT